ATACAGGACAGTTTTACAAGACACAGGGGTAGCAGGACTGTCTCACTGATACAGTACCTCACAGCCATCTTTTTTATACCCAATCCATTATTTGTGAGCTTCCTTTAGCACCACTATGACAAAGGGGCTGTAAAACAGCTAGTAGAGGGGACTTGAATGACTGAAAGATGTGGCTGAGGAAACAAGGAAATGAGGATGGATGTAGGAGGAAAAAAAGTTGCAAACTCCTTATGTATGTTAGAACTGTCAGGACAGAACAAATGAAAAGAACAAGTACACCAAAATTATCATGATGTGCCTGAGAAAGACAACCTAATGTGGAAAAACTGCCATGGAATCAGAGAGTCTTAATTCTGTTTCCAAATTACCTTCTATGTTCCAAAAATTTGTACAGAGGTTACTTAATCTCCTACATTTTCTGTCTGTAAAATCAGAGAGAATGCTTATTTGATAGGCAACTTGGGTATATGCAGACTGAATTTAACCAATTTAATAGTTCTTTTCTTTCTGTTTCTAATATCTATATCTGTATCTAATATCTAATAATAGAGGCTGTTTGCCTCTATTCAATGAAGTTTAGGCAAAAGGTGAAACAAGGATTCTACTGCCTGTAGGTACAAACATACAAACAAGCTACTACAGGGCGTGCTGGGGTGTGAATATGCAGCACATCACATGCTCTGCAACCTGTTCTTTGTCCAGATTGTTATTGCTCTTACTGCACAAAACTGCACTTCAGGATACCTCGTTAGCCAACAGGAACTTGTGTACAATATATATAGGTACTCAGGCTAGGTGATCATGCTGGGCCCCTCATTCTTTATATACAAAATTATTTTCTTCTAGGAGTTACAATTTTTAAATATCTTTAGAGAGCAGATGCATCTCATATTTCAAGAACACATGCACATGGCAATAGACTACACCTGTGAAGAAACTGTTGAAGACATCAGAAATATCATCAGGCAAAGTAAAATACATCTTAGGAAACTCTTCCAAAAGCAAAAAATCCCTGAGACCAGCTTTCTGTTTGGGAAGATCTTTATATTCTGGTTCCTCTAAAAATCTAAACATTCAGCACAAACTAAATTTAAGCTTGGGAGTGGTCATATTAAAGTCAATGAGACGAAATAATGCATGCAACAGTTATGCAGGAACAAACTCCTTGCATAGTTAGGGATTTCCCTTGCTTTTATAACAGATCTATTTGAATGACTTTGGTAAAACAATTTATTTATCCTGTGGAAAAGTATGACACTCTCTGTACACAAATTTCTCCCTAAAATACCAGTGTATGTGCACACATACATGTGTGCACAAAGACACAGTTACTGTGTGCTGACTGATTCCTTGTGCTGATTGAGCAAAAGGTTAAATGATGATTCATCAGCTCACTAAACCTTTTGGGAACAGGTATCATTTTCTCTGTATTCTAGTGAATATGTGAATACTGTAGGTTATAAAAGAAATAAATGCCAGAGGCTCTGAGATGGCTGTGTTACATAAAAGTGAAAGCCAAGTGAAAAACCTGGGTGTCATCTGCAGCATCCCCCCAGCTCAGCTGAAAATGGAGAGCTGTGAAGGCACGAATGATACTTCAGCAAAACCAGCTTCCCACTGGATTGCTTTTCCTAAATGCAATGATTCGTAACAGGCAGTCCCACCTGGAGACAGGGTTTAAATTCCTGAAGAAAGCTGGCTGTGATTGATACCTGAAACTAAGGTAATACTGAGATAAATATATTGTAGACTGAGAAGGAAATCCATTTTAGATGGATTAATAAGAGATGTAGGCTTCATCTTCTTTGTCTTCTCTGAGGTATAATCTGCCCAAAATTAAACTAACCTACAAAAAAATCTGTCCCACACTATTGTGCTCATCACATCTAAATCGAAAATAGACAACCAATTTGAAACATCATTTTAGAGGTCTGATATTAAAACTCCAAATCACGACACAGCATACCAGAAACTCTATTTTCAGAATGTAAAAATCAGGCATAATACAACAGGGGTCTTAAATATATTACTTTTAAAAATCAAAGCTTGTATTATCAATGAAAAATGCCAGGATTCAGGGTGCATTTCCAATTTGCTGCAAGTTTGAGACTAAAATCATTTTTTGGTTCTATTATGAAACTAAAATAAAAACACTCCTTTTGTTCTGTGGCCTTCTAAGACATCTTACAGTAGCCTCTGGGCTCATTTCTAAAGTGAGGGATTATATGTGATGGACATAAAGCAACTATTTGTGTGTGATCTTCCCTGTAAACGTAGGAAGTAATAACCTTGAATTGCAGTCTGACCTCTGAGGCATGTTGAAATCAAATACCTACAAGGTAGGTCTATATTCCTTGCTTTTTAAAAAACACCTTTAAACACTTTTGCAATCAAAACCTAAAACTTTCATTTTAATCAAGTTGTGGAAAACTTTGTAAAGGCAATTTTTTATATGTTTAATATATACTTTACATATATAACATTTTAGTCATTCTATCTGAGGAAATTTATTTTTTAAACTTTAATATATTATTTTAATTGAAATTTCTCTGTTATTATTTCTCCGTTATTGTCAATCCAGGAAGCCATTTGAAAAACCCTAGTTTAAGAAGTCTACCTTCCTTAAGAAGTCTACCTACATACCTTCCTATCTGGTATTAATTCCTATAGAATTTATACCAATTCTATTAAAACTTATGAAAGTATTTTAACAATAAAATTTTGAAGCTTTTTGCCCTCCTGTGTTGTGTGATGATAATTTTGTTAGATCTATACTTAACCATGGTAAAATATTATTATACTTTTCCAGCTCTTAGCCTGACATTTATTGTGCAGCCTTGGGCACTTCCCTTCCTCTCCTCTTTCCCTGCCTAAAGCAGGAGCAATGAGAGCCCAGCTGGGGCTCACAAGCAGCACAGCCTCTCTCAGCTCACCAGGGCACTCCTGGAACCCACTCTGACCTTTGGCTTTCATTGTGAGGCATGACAGAATTTCTACAGGAATATTTTATGTTAAATAGGAAACTGAACTCCTTGTCCAGAATATTAACCATCTGAATTTTCTAGGAATGTGAATTCTACTCAGAAGAAACAGCAAAATTCTTCTTTTGAGATGCAGGTAATGTTGTGGCACTAAAAGGAGTGCCCTCCTGACCCCTGGCTCATACCCCGGGGCAGTAGATAGGGTTACTTCCTATCATTGCCTTACCTTGGATAACTGGTCATAAAACTAAACTGTTTTAAAATTCCTGCAACATTTCCATCAACACCTGCAGCCTGGGTTTTCCTAGGCCAGTTTTAAATTTAGTCAAGAAATATTTCCTTACTTTCACTGCCCTTCTTACTATAGCATCCCTCAAATTTCTTGTGGATTGAACAGAGTCCTCTCCATTCCCGATTTCCTATTTCCTGAGCCTCTTCATATACAGGTTAAAATCCTTCTTCCTTAAATAAAAAATATTTGTATGCTGTATTATTTATTTGCTGTCATGTAACCATTAATTACACATCTAGAATTAGCATTTAAACAATAGATTTTAGAGATAATTAATTGTTCAAAGCAGCTCATGATGTTATGAAAGAGAAATCCTTAAGTTCTCTCTGCCATTGGATTTTTTAGTAATTACTGTTTCTTTAATATACAGCTCTTTGAAGAATTGAATACACTATAATATTAATCAAAATATGGGAAGTTGCTAGTTTAAGAGGCTTGTCTTTATCTTCTGGTTCAGACATATCAAGCTGGGTTTCCTGTGAGGTTTTTTAGTTGTGTTTTTTTTGGTTTTGTTTGCTCGTTCACTTTACTGAAAGATACCGACCTGAGGCACGTTTCTGCATCCCAGTTCCAGCCCACAGCAGAGATCAGAGACACCACCATCCTCCTCCTTAAACAGGAATGATGGTGAGCCACTTTGTGCATGGAAAAGGGAGGAAGCAGAAGGAAAAGGAAGTGCATTTGGCTGAAGCAGATAAGGTGAAATGTTTGTTCACACTTAGCCTGAAAGTATGAAACTTCACTTCCCAAGTTTAGCAACAGTACCCTATAGCCAGTGCAATGTGAACTTGCTGTTGAGAAATGTGTCATCATGTTTTTAAACACATACCAAGCATTTTTTCATTTTTTCCTGTTGTGCTCAGGATGCTAAATATTTAACTTTATTCAACCCACGGCATTCATTTAAATGAAATGAAAGATCATATCACATGGCCAATCAGTTCCACTGGCTATTTAATTGTCTGGTTAACTCAAGCCAAAGTTCAGTGACCCAAAGCAGGTAAAATCCTCAGTGCCGTGTGTGATAACATCTTTGTGATCAGAGCAGTGTATGCTTCCCTAGTTCTTGCACTCACAGAATTTCCATGTATTTCCAATGGTAAAAATTTAAGATGTATTTTTTGGATCTCAGAAGGAACAAAGTATCTTTCTGTTATTCAAAGATAGAAAAACTCTGATGAGACTTGAAGAATTAAGGAAAGAAAAAGGATTAGACGTAGGAAAAATATTCTGGTTCTTCTATTACAATTCTTCTCCAAATGTAATATTAAAGTTACAAGGAATGTAAGTATAAGTGAAAAAGTAGCAACCTTGAAGTGTTAAAAAGGAAAAATAACAGAGTTTTTTTAGGAGGCTCCTCCTCTTTATACAAAGTTTCCCAAACTTAGCCCATTACATAAAATGACAATTGTGGCTTGTGGGCATTATTCCATGAATAATTTGCATTATCCCGTTCTTGTTCCTTGTGTTTCCATTGCTGCTGAGAATCTAAGGGGTCCCTGAGTGCACTAATGATCCTTAATGACTCTGATTAGCTCCACCCTGCAGACCCTGCCTATAGGTCCTGGAGCCCACACAAAATCAGGCCTGGGACTCGCCCCCTCCCTGCCCTGTGTTGTTGGAATGCCTGCTGGAGTTCTGCCATGCCTGTGTGTGGCCATGGACCTCGCTGATACAGGCCCTGGCCTGTGCACTGATTTCCTGACATGACCTCAGGCCTGACTTACCATGGGGGTCCTTCCTGGTGATCACTGGCTGTTTGTGATGCTGGTTATTGTCCATGGCCCTGATCCTGACACACACATCGAGTCCCTGGCATCACACTTGGACCCATCTGCATAACAACAAACAACAGGAGCACGGAGTGAACCCAGAGAGACAGATCTTCAATCTTCACGTTACTTTAGTCATCACAGAACAAAGTAAAATGGCTGGGGTTTAGTGTGATATACAGTGTGAGTCTTGGGGTAGAATGGATATTTAAGGAAAGCATGGGTAGAACCCTTTAATTTGTAAACTCTTCTTCCTAGAAGCGCTTATGAGAAGTTCTTCAGCAAAATCAGGTTCTTCTGATTCTGATCTTTTTAAAGGTAGGATTAGTCAATTAGTATAATGCTATTCAAGGTGACAAAAATAATAGGATTAATTAAGCCAAGCCTTGTTCATAGACAGTAAAAGCATTGGATACAGAAACTAAACATGGCTATAGAGAAAAAGGGAATTTGTAACCAAATCTCATTGATTCTGTTTTCTGCTGTATTCTTAAAACTTTTTTTTTTCCAAAAGGAATTGCTTTTATAATCTTCTTATTATGGACATCTTCAACACTGCAAGAACCATTCCTAATTAATCTCAAGGAAGTCAAGATCTCTTGAAAATTTTTGAGAACACCTCAAGACTACCAGGAGCCTATAAATCAATACTATCACCTGGGATGAGATGTGGGCTACTCAAGTTCAAGAGTCACGGTCCAGCTCAAAATGCTTATTGATGGTTTTGTTGGGAAGAAAAAAAAAGTTATTTTCTGGTATGAAGTAATTATATTCTGTCAAACATTCTCAGCTCATGTAATTTATGCAATGCTTGAAACAGTGGGGGCTTGGGCTCCTGAAAAGTAAGAAAAAGACCAATTAGGTCTCTCTGAAATGAACAGAACTTGAATGCTTAATATACTGTTGTGGTTTTTTGTGAACCTTCCTGAAATATGGTTCACAACTTAAACAATGAACAAAGTACCTCACCACTCGTTTCAGTGACTTCGAGGGTATTACAATTAGGCCTTTTTTTAAATGGAAAAGCCACATGGTGGCAGGAGAGAGCAAGGCATGGAAAAAACCTCCCTGCTAAACGCTTCCCTCAGTTTAGCTGTGACTTTCCCTTCCACAGCACAGCTGAAGCTTCTTGGCTATATTTTTAAATGTAATGGCCATTAACATAATTCATTAGTTACAATGCTTAACATAGTGTCCATGACTTCTAAGTTTCTGCTACTACTGGCCAAGTTCAATAGGGAATTATACAGTGAATGTAATATTACAGTAACTTTGGAAGTTTTGCAGTGCAGCTAAGATACAGAATCTATAACCTGTTTTCAGATTGTCCACACTGCCACACCTTCCCACAGCATCACTGATACAGTGACCAGAAATGATCTTCATACAGCTCTTTTCCTATGGTCGTTTTTATGGTGACACTACCAGGCTGATGACAGGCCATAAGTAGTGCTTCAAATTCATAAGTCTCTGAAAATGAAATATTTAGCCTTGAATTTTTTATGTAATGTGCCACATCATAAACAGATCTGCTATGCAAAAATGAAAAGTCTGCTTTTTCACTTTAAGATCTAGTAGGGGCAGTCTAAACCAATAATCCTCTGATTTAAAGCCATCTGGACATCCCCTTCACTTTATGGACATCCATAATTATGACACACTAATGTTTTGAGATGTCTCAGTACAGTTCTCACTGTTAGTACCTACACAATTGCAGCCAAAACTGAAGTGTATCCAGTTATTTTTGCAATCAAGCTGTAGTTTAAACAGCTGATTTCTACTAAATGAAGAATAAATGGATTTTGCAGTCGTAGCAGAGGTATAAAATCCTGACTTAAGAGCTGTGACTCTTTAACCTGTATTAGAAGATTCTGGTGCATCTTTTTTGTTAATTCCATCATTTAAATCACTGATTTGACACATTCCATAAAAATAATTTTTTCTAACCCGAACCTTTCTTCGACTTAAATGAATCTGGTTTAAAATGTTGAATCCTTACTAAGAACCACTTGCATGACTTTTAAAATAATTGATTTAAGGGGAAAGAACACATGAAGGAATCAGATTGCATCTGATTCTCTTATCTCCACACCTATCAGTGCAAGAACTTTCTTAGGACTGTAAACAGTGTTGTAAAGTCTCTGAAATTCCAGTGGTCATAGTCCTGGTCACACCCAACTCTCAATGCCAACAGGGGCAGCACAAGCCACTCGCCCTCTCAGAGGACAGGCTTCTGTCTCTAAACTCTGTATAACTGGATTTTTTTCTTTAACCTATTAACGACCAGTGCAGATCACACTGAGAAGTTTTCTAACAAAGAACTGTTTTAGTGATTAACTGATCTGACAAGAAAGCATTTACAAAAATCTGAAACTGTGTTGCAACAGAGTAGCTTTCACTTCCCCGTCTGTTCTCTTTTTATACTCAGCTTTCATAGCTGAACTTCTCACTTTTGTTCTAAGTCCATATGGTTCTTAATAATCTTAACTGACTTATTTCTCATGCTTTTCTACTCAAAAAGGAGCCAACAACTTTTCCTTCCTCTTCCCCTTTCCCAATACATGCAGAAAAGAGAGTAATACAAGAGTTGTAGAAAAACCTGTAGAGAAAATCTTCACCACTGTCAATACTTGTTAATTCTGCATCTTCTAAAATATTTATTCTGTACCAGACTCTTGCTTGAACGTGAAAGAATTTGCATTCCTATGTTGTTTCTGTGCCACCTGTTAGCTTTCAGGTTCTATTATTCCTTTCACACAAGTACTGCAGGCAAATCTTTCTTTTAGTCCTGTTAATAGTAAGCCTAAGAGTTTCACAACCACAGCCTTAACTGTCTTTAAAATGGCTCTTAACTGTGCTCTACTTCTTCCTAGAAAATGATCTGATGGTTTTGTTAAAGGAAAAAAAAGATTTCTTTAGTATAATGCAGTTTCCCTGTTTCTGCCTCAAATAAGGATCTCTCATATTCCTTGTGCTACTTCTTAAATTATCAGTAGCCTCTAAAGATACACAAAGCTCCATTGTTTTAACCCAGATATCTGATATAACTCTTTTACCATGATGCTTACAGAAATGCTTTGATGTCAGCAGGCAGCAAAGGTGTAATGCTGATGCTTTTTCTTTATGATCTTTTTTATCCTTCTTGTATATTTGCTATTTATGAACTAAAAATTCTTCAGGTTTTCCTTCAATCCTGTGAATACAGCATGAATTCACTTTAAGCAGCATGATCCTACTATGGTAAACATGATAAATTCCCAGTGAAAACCCAGGGAATGTTCACAGCAAGTTTCAGACTGGGTAAGACTTTAATGTTAGGAGATAAATGTTAGAAGATTATTAATTTTTACAGATTTAAACTACCTGGTCACCTCCTAGTACTCAGTGTTCTAAGCAGTGTTGCATTGATTCCATTCTGTTCCCTGTATTTCAGTGTAACCTGAGGTGATTTGACTCAGGTGACTGAAGTGGCCTTCTCTCAGCTCAGCCTCCGTCCCTGCTGTGTCATGAGAAATAGCTGGGCACTGCAAGCACACAGACACACTTCATAAACGGGGATGGCACAGTTAGTAAGTACGAAAGATAAGAGCAACTCGAATGACACGAAACCTCATTTTTTCCAGGAGAGTAAGTGTCTCAAGAGTTACTAGCAAGACTGATCTCACTTTCTATTTTGATAGTCACTATTTTGATCTAGGTTGAACAATCAAGGAAAATCTTTGTTTTCTACCAGCCTTCCAATATAATCTGTCAAATGGATTTGTAAGGCAGCCAACAAGAAGCATGAATATCGTTATCATCAGATGCAGCATTTTGGACCCAATCTATGCTACCTTAGGTTTGGCTGGGATTCAGTACTTTAGGAAAGGAGAAGGTCCACTGGCTGAATGGGCCTACTGCAGTCCCTGCTGCCTGGTGCCAGAGCATGCTGGCACAGCTGGAGCAGCAGGCCTGGTACATTGGTGTCCACCTGTTAAAGGAGGCAGCAGGGAACTGTCCCCACCTGCTGACATGGGCTCTTATGGGCTCAGTTACAGTTGTGGCAACAAAAATATTAAGTTGGTGGGGCTTTTATCTGTGCATACCAACATTTGCAAGAATTAACTCTATTTGTTCTGTATAAAAGTGAAATAAGTTAAGGTTGCTGTTTTAGTATCTTTTACTACATCTCAAACAGCCCTCAAAAGAAACATAGTTCTGAAAGATGCCTGATTACTGGAGGCAGCTGTCCAAGGCCATTAATGAGAACATAAGAGACAGCTCTAGCTCCTTGAACAGATCACATGGTTTACTTTAATAGCACAGTTATGAGTAAAAAGCAGTGGAGAAAGTGTGTGAACTGAATATTGAGGCAGAAAATTCATGCTAGGTATAGGGCACAGCCTGACAGAAAGGCAAATTCGGGTCAGGTAGCCTGTACTGAAGTCTGTCTGGGTCTTTCCCCTGTGAGTTGTGCAGTGCTTGGCTCCTCGTGGCCCAGGCTGCAGTGCAGTGCAGGGCTCACTGCCCATGGCACAGTCTCACCCGTGCCCATGGCACAGTCTCACCCGTGCCCATGGCACAGTCTCACCTGTGCTGGGGTGTTCAATAGCAAGTGACTCCTGCCTCAGGAACACAGGGAAATACAACTTTTTATGGGGTAGAGAACTAAAGTTACTGCTTTCTTTGTGAGATAATGCCATGTTGTTATACTGAATGTACTAATAACAATTAAAGAGGCATTAGTGGGATGAAAAAAGAGTTGGAGGTGGATGGGGTAAAGTCTGAAGGGTTTCATCTGTTTCTTACTCTTTGCTGCAAACAAGGTATGGTTAAAGTTTTTTTTAATTTCAGTGAAGGAATCCTACTGAAGGAAAGCCCTCTCTGCTGTGGACTTTTCTCTTATTGAGAAGAAATAATGACTTTTTGATAACAAGCAGGAATAACACATATGCAAAGTTCAGAGAAGTATTTTCCCATTAGCTAAGGATTTTACTTTCCCATGTTTATTTTAGTCTACAAGTTAAATTAATACAACTTAAATATACTCGGCTGTGACATAATCAGACCTGGAAAATTAAGTTCTAGTTAGTATTTGTAATTTCTTTGTAAGAATGAGTAACATAACTATTTAGCAGCTGTCCAGAACAAGATACAGGAAATTACAATATGTTTCTTAATCAGTAGTTATCTTGTATCTTATTACAAATTATTGACTTAAAAATTAAGAAAAGTAAGCATAAAAATGTTAGGCACAATTGAAATAAATAAAACTTCAAAAGTAAACACTTGATAACATGCAGTATTTCACAGTGAGTTTGCACACATTAACAAAAGTCCTTGCAAGTACTAAATTTATGGGTTTCTCATGGTGAAGTCCACTCTATTCTACAAGAGAAGAAAAAGTAACACTTATATTTGCAAGGTGAAGTTCTTCTGATGTTAGATACTTTGTACTGCTACCATATTTTCTTAGACATTACAAATAGTATCAAGGATCTCTCCTTCCTTCTCACCTAAGCCTGATCCAATTCCTCCATAATTTAATAGACATCTTGGAAGCTTAACTGAATCAAAAATTTGGAGGATACTCAGAGTACATATATTTAATACATCAATAGTTGAATTGCCTCTGAAGTATGCAATGTGTTTGACATCAAATATAGCATGCAGTCTGTAATCATATTTGTCACACAACACAGAGTTCTCATACCTCCTGTTTTTTCTGGAGATGTATCACACTTCACATTTGACTTTTTCAAACTTATTACCATGAAGTAATGCAGTAAAGGAGCTTGACTGTGTAAACAACAATATTATTTTCAAACCTAAATAATGAATAAAAATAGCTTTAGATTTTCCATCTATCCAGAAGAGTATGTCATTTTTGTACTTTAAAACTTCTTACCCATATCAAGAATTTAACTATGGACTCTTAAAACTTTAGATTATATAAGGATTTTTGACCATCTAACGATTTTTTCTGAAGAAAAACTTAGTTTTAAATTTTCAAAGCCTTTCCTTTCCACAAGGAGTTATTTTCTGCTCACAGACTTCCTAGAAATCAGAAATAATACAATGGAAAGTAAAAATGCTGTATTCCTTACAATTTGAGCTTCTATCCACCTTGCTGAGGTTCTCAGCAACAGTGAAATAATGCTTATTTCATGATGTGGATATTAACTTATGAACTGAACTAGGTTGTCAGTACCAATTCTTATAAAGCACACAAGAAAAAAAACAAACCAAAAAGCTTTTATCCGTCTCTAGCTTTCCCTGGACTGCTTAATAAATGAAACTAGAGTATGAGGAGAAAGGACTACTGAAGAAATGACACAGATTAACCACTGAGTTCCTTGTTAGAGATTTTCTGTGCCTACTAAAGCATCTTCTTGTTTGTTTACAACCAAACTTCTTTTCTTGTCTTCCTCTGTCACAGTCTGACTCATCTGCTCAAACAGCTTTGACATCTTGGCAAATCTCAGGTGATTCTGAAATCTTCGTGCAGCAAAAGCATAAAGCAGAGGGTTAATACAGCTACTGATGAACACAAGTGCTCCAGAGATGTACACTCCTTTGTCTACAATTTCATCCAGTGCCAGAGACATTTCCTCATGAGAGAGTTCTATTTCGATGGAAACAATATCCAGGATGTTGAAGAGGTGGTGAGGGAACCAGCACACAATGAATGCCACCACGATGCTGGCAATGAGCCGGCCTGATCGCTGCTTAGACTGGGAAGTCATTCTGCTTATCCTTCGGGCTACGCACACGTAACAAGTGCAAATAATGAAAAAAGGGATTACAAAACCTGCAAGAGTCTCCAGCAGAAGATAGGACACCTTCTGTCTGTTAGAAGAGTAGCTGCGACACGTGCAGAGCAGTTGACCATTCGTTTCTTCTGTCTCTTGAAAGGGAATGACAGAAATGCCAAAAGTAATAGACAGGAACCAAATGAGGAACATGATTAAAGAAATCTTTTCTTTTCTTTTGTATCTTTGAATTGTGAAAGGGTAAAACACAGCCACTAACCTCTCCAAGCTCAGTGCTGTAATTAGAAATATACTTGCATACATGCTGCAGTAAATAATGAAAACCAGTATTTTGCAGAAGATGACTCCAAAAACCCATGAGTGAGCAAAGGAGTAAATCCAGATTGGTAAAGTGATCAGCACGAGGACATCAGCAATGGCCAGGTTCAAGATCAGCAGCACTGAAAGAGACACTTGCTTCATTTTTCTACAAACAGTCCAGATGACGATGCAGTTTCCAGGGGTCCCAATAATAAATGACAAGCTCAGTATTATGCAGACTACTGACCTCACAATATTCCATGTTGAGTGGATACTGCTTTCCTCAGCTTGACTCATTCTGGAAATTCTTCAGTTCTTGGTTGCTCTGGGCCCTGCTTTTATTCTGAAGGAGTTAGTGAGCTACTGGAGAGCAAGTTCTCTAACTGCTGCTCTGTAGGGTAGTGTGGCCTATGATCTCCTATCCTAATGCTCGCTCTTACACACATCTGACCACATAGGGCAGTTCCTGTTGTTTAGGAAGATGTGCATTTTCGCACACAAAGCAAAAATAAAAATACAGGGCAGCATCTGACTTTGCTTTCAGTTTTACATCCATCATGCTTTAGCAGATTTTGAAGCCTGTTGGTGGTCTTTCTAAGCAGTCCTTATTTAAAGAAACTCACTACTTTGTTGAAGTTACTGATCTAATCAACAGCTGTGAGCTTGCTCACATGAGTTAACTCAACATTTTATTTTATAGAAACAAAAAAAATAAGAGGGGTGGCAGATAAACTACAAATGTGCATTATATGTTTGACAGGAATTTCTGTTTCAAAGCATAAAAAGTTGTGTTTACTGTCTTCCTGTCACCTCTTTTAATTCAGCAGAAAACAGTCAACCACAATTTAGAAATACATTGGCATAGAGGAAATCAACATTTGCCCTATAGTGAGACTGTCTTGGTACAATAAAGTGGGTTGGACCTGTATTTCGAATTCTCTGGGAAATTGGCATTCTTCAGCCAAACAATAACCATGAGGATTTCCAGTCTGGATACAGGCTTACAGGAGGAAATGCTCCATGTCAGAGGGAAAATATATGACTATGTTTTCCTCCTGAATGTGTCCCAAATTCTTCAGAGTCTGGCCAAAGAATATGAACCTATTTTGTTATCCTGATCTCAAAACATATTCTTTTGAAGTTAAATTCTAAAATGTTAAAGGAGGAACTAAAACAGCAGCACAAGAGAAATGTTCAAGAGTCATAGAAGTGAAACTGGAAGGGTATTTACCATGAAAAAAGATTCACAGAAATGAAGGAGTTATGCATAGGTTTTCTAAATTTAAGAATGTGATACAGATTATTTCCCTAATTTTACAAACCTGGCAAATGTAGTGCATAATATCAA